AGCAATGACAAACTAGTGAACATAAAAATGTTCTTAGCAAACCCACAGTAACCAAAACATGCTGGTATTGGCTCTGCAACTAACTTTTAAACTGGGACATCCTATGGTTATGAAGTTATCTGCAGTGCAATGTTGAACTCTGCAACTAACTTTTATACTGGGATATGCTATGGTTATGAAGTTATCTGCAGTGCAATGTTGAACTCTGCAACTAACTTTTATACTGGGATATCCAATGGTTATGAAGTTATCTGCAGTGCAATGTTGAACTCTGCAACTAACTTTTATACTGGGATATCCTATGGTTATGAAGTTATCTGCAGTGCAATGTTGAACTCTGCAACTAACTTTTATACTGGGATATCCTATGGTTATGAAGTTATCTGCAGTGCAATGTTGAACTCTGCAACTAACTTTTATACTGGGATATCCTATGGTTATGAAGTTATCTGCAGTGCAATGTTGAACTCTGCAACTAACTTTTATACTGGGATATGCTATGGTTATGAAGTTATCTGCAGTGCAATGTTGAACTCTGCAACTAACTTTTATACTGGGATATCCTATGGTTATGAAGTTATCTGCAGTGCAATGTTGAACTCTGCAACTAACTTTTATACTGGGACATCCTATGGTTATGAAGTTATCTGCAGTGCAATGTTGAACTCTGCAACTAACTTTTATACTGGGACATCCTATGGTTATGAAGTTATCTGCAGTGCAATGTTGAACTCTGCAACTAACTTTTATACTGGGACATCCTATGGTTATGAAGTTATCTGCAGTGCAATGTTGAACTCTGCAACTAACTTTTATACTGGGATATCCTATGGTTATGAAGTTATCTGCAGTGCAATGTTGAACTCTGCAACTAACTTTTATACTGGGATATGCTATGGTTATGAAGTTATCTGCAGTGCAATGTTGAACTCTGCAACTAACTTTTATACTGGGATATCCTATGGTTATGAAGTTATCTGCAGTGCAATGTTGAACTCTGCAACTAACTTTTATACTGGGATATGCTATGGTTATGAAGTTATCTGCAGTGCAATGTTGAACTCTGCAACTAACTTTTATACTGGGATATGCTATGGTTATGAAGTTATCTGCAGTGCAATGTTGAACTCTGCAACTAACTTTTAAACTGGGACATCCTATGGTTATGAAGTTATCTGCAGTGCAATATTGAACTCTGCAACTAACTTTTATACTGGGATATCCTATGGTTATGAAGTTATCTGCAGTGCAATGTTGAACTCTGCAACTAACTTTTATACTGGGACATCCAATGGTTATGAAGTTATCTGCAGTGCAATGTTGAACTCTGCAACTAACTTTTATACTGGGATATCCTATGGTTATGAAGTTATCTGCAGTGCAATGTTGAACTCTGCAACTAACTTTTATACTGGGATATCCTATGGTTATGAAGTTATCTGCAGTGCAATGTTGAACTCTGCAACTAACTTTTATACTGGGATATCCTATGGTTATGAAGTTATCTGCAGTGCAATGTTGAACTCTGCAACTAACTTTTATACTGGGATATGCTATGGTTATGAAGTTATCTGCAGTGCAATGTTGAACTCTGCAACTAACTTTTATACTGGGACATCCTATGGTTATGAAGTTATCTGCAGTGCAATGTTGAACTCTGCAACTAACTTTTATACTGGGATATCCTATGGTTATGAAGTTATCTGCAGTGCAATGTTGAACTCTGCAACTAACTTTTATACTGGGACATCCTATGGTTATGAAGTTATCTGCAGTGCAATGTTGAACTCTGCAACTAACTTTTATACTGGGATATCCTATGGTTATGAAGTTATCTGCAGTGCAATGTTGAACTCTGCAACTAACTTTTATACTGGGATATCCTATGGTTATGAAGTTATCTGCAGTGCAATGTTGAACTCTGCAACTAACTTTTATACTGGGATATCCTATGGTTATGAAGTTATCTGCAGTGCAATGTTGAACTCTGCAACTAACTTTTATACTGGGATATGCTATGGTTATGAAGTTATCTGCAGTGCAATGTTGAACTCTGCAACTAACTTTTATACTGGGATATCCTATGGTTATGAAGTTATCTGCAGTGCAATGTTGAACTCTGTAACTAACTTTTATACTGGGATATGCTATGGTTATGAAGTTATCTGCAGTGCAATGTTGAACTCTGCAACTAACTTTTATACTGGGATATGCTATGGTTATGAAGTTATCTGCAGTGCAATGTTGAACTCTGCAACTAACTTTTAAACTGGGACATCCTATGGTTATGAAGTTATCTGCAGTGCAATATTGAACTCTGCAACTAACTTTTATACTGGGATATCCTATGGTTATGAAGTTATCTGCAGTGCAATGTTGAACTCTGCAACTAACTTTTATACTGGGACATCCAATGGTTATGAAGTTATCTGCAGTGCAATGTTGAACTCTGCAACTAACTTTTATACTGGGATATCCTATGGTTATGAAGTTATCTGCAGTGCAATGTTGAACTCTGCAACTAACTTTTATACTGGGATATCCTATGGTTATGAAGTTATCTGCAGTGCAATGTTGAACTCTGCAACTAACTTTTATACTGGGATATCCTATGGTTATGAAGTTATCTGCAGTGCAATGTTGAACTCTGCAACTAACTTTTATACTGGGATATGCTATGGTTATGAAGTTATCTGCAGTGCAATGTTGAACTCTGCAACTAACTTTTATACTGGGATATCCTATGGTTATGAAGTTATCTGCAGTGCAATGTTGAACTCTGCAACTAACTTTTATACTGGGACATCCTATGGTTATGAAGTTATCTGCAGTGCAATGTTGAACTCTGCAACTAACTTTTATACTGGGATATCCTATGGTTATGAAGTTATCTGCAGTGCAATGTTGAACTCAGATCTAGCCACTGTTGAGTGGTGAGGGAAAACTGGATGAAAATAATCTAGAACAAATGCTGTTGTTCCACATATCATCCCTTTTATCTGTCTAAAATAGAAATGTGAACTGGTGTTTACACATTTACATGTATCTTGCTAATCATCATTTTCCACAGTGACAACCCATACAGAAAATACACTGCAATGTCACTAATAAAAAACAAAATGGGTGCTTTAATGCAAGAGGATAATTAGTTATTTACCTATATGACCCAGTCTTTATCTCCCCACTTAGCAGTTGTTCACCTCTGAGAGATATGAACAAAGCATGTAACTCTACATCTCCAGCAACAACCTCCAAATATCTTAGAAAACACTTGCACCCATGATCCAAGTTATAGAGCCTGATTCAAACCCACGACATTCAAAGCATGCGGCAAAAAAGCTCAACATCTTTAGCATGGAGACCTCCTGTTCATATAACCGTGATCTTCTTCTTCTTCTACAGCATTCCGAACATTGCGGTTCATTGCTCTAGATATCGGCTGCCTCGATTAATCTTTGTGATTGGCCTTCTGCTGCCGACTCAAAAGTGTTTGTCTGCTTGGATACTATCTCTCTTCACTGTCTTTTTGGTGTACTCTAGGTCTATTCCCATGCAATATTTTTGTATTCAGTTCTCTACATATCACAACCACTGCAATCTATTAGCCCTCAATCACTGCAATCTATTAGCCCTCAATCACTGCAATCTATTAGCCCTCAACCACTGCAATCTATTAGCCCTCAACCACTGCAATCTACTAGCCCTCAACCACTGCAATCTATTAGCCCTCAACCACTGCAATCTACTAGCCCTCAACCACTGCAATCTACTAGCCCTCAACCACTGCAATCTACTAGCCCTCAACCACTGCAATATATTAGCCCTCAACCACTGCAATCTATTAGCCCTCAACCACTGCAATCTATTAGCCCTCATGATGCTAGTAATTAGCGGTGATCTAATCAAATTCTGAATTTCATTGTTGCTTCTTCATTTCAATTTTCTGCTGTCATGCATTTTTTATGGGTCCAAAAATCCATCATAAGACGTAATAGGACGTCGTCTCTTCTCTTTTAGTTATACTCCAGCTTTCACAGCCACATGGGACAACTAGTCTTACTGGTGTCTTATAAATTATAGCTAGACATGAGTGCCATCTGGGAGTGAGTGAACAGTGCAGAAGTGCAAATAGATCATTAGGATCTGAAAAGAATGGTGCTACAAGGAATTACCAGGGGATCTGGCTGCTGCTCAAAACTCAAGGGGAGGGTGAGACGGACATATAATCAGACAGTTAACTGGTGCCATCGGAACTGGAACTCTTCGTTTGCTGCTGAAGATGAGGGCAGAGTGCTTATGGGGGTGTCCCGAGTGCTCTCTGTAAGCACCTTATCAAATGTGCTCTCTGTAAGCACCTTATCAAATGTGCTCTCTGTAAGCACTTTATCAAATGTGCTCTCTGTAAGCACCTTATCAAATATGCTCTCTGTAAGCACCTTATCAAATGTGCTCAGTAAATTCATGCCAATTGTTGGGTCTCTATGGTGAAGTGGTTAAGCTGTTGTGCCTCCAACTCTGAAGGTTGTGGCTTATTGGGTTCACACGGGACATTTTTATGGAAATCCTAGAGGACATCAGAGTTTGTGTTTTATGCTCTCTGACCGCAGGTAGCCATTTTGCAAAGAAAGACCTAACCATATGCCCCAAATCCCGGGGGACTGAGGTCTTCTTTTGCTTCTTTGTGTTGACCAGCTGTAAACTCTGGCAGAAAGTTTTGGCTGTCCATCTTCTTCTTCTGGACTTTGGTCTTGTTCTTAAAACTTAAGTTTTGCATGCGCATCTGTGTTACAGATCTGGCTTATTTGTATGAAGGCTCTTGATTCCCCGCGGCTCAGACAGACGCACTCCAACTTCAAAGGAAAAACTTCTAATAAGTCGCCTCCTACGGCATGCTTGTTGGTTGGGGTGGGGGTAGGTGCAGTGGGTCTATCGAACCCCCACAGGGGGTGTACACTGGTTGAATAAGCCCAAATATTGGACTAGTGTAACTCACTGATCCCTCAGTCCACGGAAGCTAAGCTAAAACTGGTTTCTTTCTCCAGAAAGTATTGAAAGGCATTTAGCCGCTGTTCAGGACTGGCCAACAGGCTGTGTCTGAACACATACAGGTTTTCCATCTTAATCTCTTCAACAAGCTTCACTTTTAGCGCTTTGCCTCCACCTCCGACTACAGCTTCGAATGTTAATGATGGTCTTGATAATAAATCAGAAAATGAGTCCGAGGAGGAGGGCGGCACCAATGCAGACTGCAACTGCAACATAATCAGACGGTCCACCTCACTAATAACCCTCGCTAGGTCTCTGTGGGGATGGGCCAAAATTAAAGGGCACTTGGCAATGTGGTCTCTGGTGTAATGTTTGCAGATCAGATACTCTAGGTTTTTCTGCACATCTAGCATCAGCACTGAGCTAACATCCATTCTGCACTCGAGCATCGTGGTCAGCATTGCCCGATCAAGCTTCAAGAGATGATTAATGAGCTCTAAGATCATCCGTCGGTGCTTCTTTGTGCTTGATGCACTATATTTGAGACCAAGGTGATTGTTTTCCACTGTTGGTACTTGAATATTCTCTGGACACAGCATCTTCGAATCACCAACCCAATCTGCAAGAAGAGTTAAGGAACCGGTTAAATGGTAACAGGGTAAAAGAAGCAATGTGTTGGATAATAATAAATGGATGAAGCTGTAAGTAATAATGAATGGATGAAACTATAGATAATAATAAATGGATGAAACTATAAATAATAATGAATGGATGAACTTTTAAGTAATAATGAATGGATGAAGCATATAAGTAATAATGAATGGATGAAGCTATATATAAGTAATAATGAATGGATGAATATTTAAGAAATAATGAATGAATGAAACTATAGATAATAATGAATGGATGAACCTATAAGTAATAATGAATGGATGAAGCTTGTAACTAATAATGAATGGATGAAACTATAGATAATAATTAATGGATGAAACTAGATACAAATTAATGGATGCACCTATAAGTAATAATGAATGGATGAAGCTATGTATAAGTAATAATGAATGGATGAATCTATAAGAAATAATGAATTAATGAAACTATAGATAATAATGAATGGATGAACCTATAAGTAATAATGAATGGATGCACCCATACATGGAGGCACGGGAAGTATTATTATCATCAGATTTGCCGACTGGTGTGTACTTCCACAATCTGCAACTGCATGAATCAGTTTGTGTGCTGACACCCCTCTATGCCAAGCCAAAAAGCTGTCAAGAATCTTCTCGGCCTGTCTTCTTTTCACGGATCTTTCCAGTGGTCACAACACATTAAAGTTTCCTTCTTCTCATAACATGACCAAACAAATGATGACTGCCGCTTCCTGATATTTGCCATAAGTTGTCTGTGAGCTCTCACCTCTGTCAAGACATCTGGGTTGCTCCTTTTGGCTGTTCAAGAAATTCTAATGATTCTTCTGTAAAACATCTCCGAGGCAAGGGGAGCAAAATGAAGTGAATACAAGATACAAAACAAAACCAGGAGGGAGAGAGGAGACCAGTCAATCAATCCTCATTGCGCCCAGAGGCACATAAGGCAGAGACAAACTGTCGCCACTCAATTCAATCCTGAGCCCTCCTCTCTATCTCCAGTTTTGTCCTTTGCGTAGCCTTGAGTTCAGCCTCAAAGGTTGGCCGCCAAGTGTCTTTGGGCCTGCCTCTTCCTCGCTGTCCGTGTGGTGCCCATTGCATTGCCTGTCTCGGCCGTGAGGATACCAATAAGTAGATGGAAAAATACAAAACTAAATATGAGGAGAGATGAAGCTTGATGACTTGAAGTGACATCATGGTGTAAGATCATCAGAAAAATTGATTCAAAATACCAAGGAGCGAGATCTGTGGAGAAACATGAGGGATTTTGCTGCTTGGCAGGGCAAATGATAATGCTGTAAAGATACGACAAAAATAAACAACCAGGATAATTAATGGAGGGAGAGGAACCAGATGGAACTAAAGAGGCAGAGAAAGTAGCAGACGGAGGGGGAAGAATTGAAGTAGGGAGGCTGAAAGTGAGAAAGGAAGAAGGAGATTGAGGGGAAAATGGTTGGAAATGGAAAAGCTGGGGAGTGAGTAAACAAGAAAAAGAAAGATTAAGAGAGACAGTCTGCCACAACGTTCCATTAAGTATACAAGTATACATACACACACATATGAAAATGAACTAATCGTTTAAACAAAGTTATTTAATCAATTAATAAACATAACAAGCTTACCCTCATCTAGATGTGCAGTGCAAATATCAGCACAAGTTTGGACAGTATTTTCACTGTGCACGTTTTTGTTCTTGGGTCCACGGTCACTTCCATAGCCATTCAACTTTGCTGCACTGACCATTTCTCGGAGAACAAACACAGAGGCAGGAAGCCCAGAGGCACGGAAGCAGGTGGTTACAGCATGACACTGTTCTACGGGAAGTCTGGTTTGGAATATTATAACCAATTTAACAAACGACCATCTACTGTAAGCCACAAAATATCATAATCAAAGTGACTTTCGTCAGAAAACTTTAGCTGTACTTTCAAACCTGGCCCCACTGTAGGAGGTAAAAGAATGGATCCACTAACCCCTAACAAGCACACCATATGAGGAGACTCATTAGGGACGTTCCTTTCAAAGTCAGAGAGCATCTGCCTGAGAGGTGAGGAACCAACAGTCTGCATTAAAAAAAGCCAGATCTGTAAAACAGCCGTGCACACAAATCTCAATTCTGGAAGAAGACTCATGTCCAGAAGTGGATTAACAACCAGGACCTCCCTTTGGAGTTTACAGTGGGTGAACACTAAGAAGAGGAAGGTCTGAGAAAGAAACATTACCAACATAAGCCTAACCTTAGCCAGCTTGTAGGTAAGCGACCCCTTTCATGTCATCGGCTCATTAGTTTATGATGCTAAACCCATATTTGTAAAGACCAGTCTGCACTTACTGGGTGATGATGTTATATTTATTTATTGTAATCCTCGGCTAATACTGCCTTATATCCACCATGAGAACAGAGATCCTCAACAAACTTACATTAAGCCATCCATCTTTTACCATCTTCCGCTATTAACTTCAAGTCCTCCCAAAATTATTTACCTACCCCTAAATTTATTCCACAAAAAAACACATTACATGGTCTCCAGATGCACTGTTCATCTAAATGCCAGAAGTTCACAACTGTCACATGACCTACCAGGGTAACTTCAAAATTACAATAAACTCCCTCTGTTTACAGAATGGGATATTGTTCATTTTTATTGTTAAAGTTTTGGCTAGTTTTAGGTTCATATGTTTGGTGTGTGGTAAATAACATAGAAAGCACTGTCCGTGTCGGTTACATGTCCGGAATCAAGCAGATGTCGTATAGAAGAGCTGGGTTTTCCTCTTGGTTGATTTTAGCAATTCCCTCAGCTTCGCACAGAGCTACTTGGCTGCACCTTCTACCACCCTGTTTTCAAATTGGCTCTTCATTCAATCAATGTAAGTCAACTGGCATTTACATGTAAAATGATAAACACTATTGGATCTAGTGTACAGAGAAATCCGATTCCTGATGAAGCCAGGCTGAGATTGAAGTGATCTTGTATCTCACCACTGGAACAGCAGCAAAGAATATCTGGCCAACAGCTGTTTTTATTCTGTGCTGCAGATGCCGCACAACAGCATCACTTGGTTCTATTTCAATATCTCCCCCCCCCCTCCCCAAACAGAGAGTCGAATATTTTAGGGGGTGCTAGATAGGTTGCATGCAGTCGTAGGACCTAGGCTGCACTCTCTAATGGGACACAGGTGGGTTGGGCTTAGGCCCAGTTCTAGATGTTTTGGAGTAGTTAAAGGCATCGGAAAGCTGGGAAACCTGCTCTTAACACCCTCAAAAATACTGGACTGTCCTGTAAGGTCATCCTGGGGTGAGATATTGGGAAAGCACCCATCACTTTCTTTAATAGATTAACCAAATGAATACATGTAGTATGGACACTGTAATTACATTTGGGGGTTGGGCTGAATTAATTCAGTTTTTGTGCTTCATTATATATTGAAGTAACTCAGCAGTAATGCCCCTTGACGAGAAGCAGCAAAATATTTCTGGTAATAAACTGTGGCAAGTATTTTTGTGCCTCTAAATCTCTTGTCAGAAAGAACTACAGGACATGATAGACACTGTGGTGTGGTGGTAGAAAGTGGAAGAATGGGCCTTAGTTTGAATAATGGGAAGACAGAAGTAATGGTGGTATCAAAGGAAAGAATTATTCCTAAATGTGTAATAATAAAAGTCAATGGTGTTATTTTGGGACAAGTACAAAAATTTGAGAATCTAGGAACATGGATAACAGCAGATGGAAGATGTATTACTGAGAAGAAACAGAATAGGACAGGCAAAAACTGCATTTTACAAAATGAAAAATATCTTATGCAATATATCTTTGTCAATGAGGGTAAGAAAAAGAATTCTAGCTTGCTACATACATCCAGTTTTGACATTTGGCTGTGAGTCCTGGACAATCAGTAGGCAGGCCAAACAATTTCTGGAGGTCCCAGAGAGGTGGTTTTACAGAAGAATGCTTAAAATACCTTGGACAGCCAAAAAGAGCAACCAAGAGGTTTTGAAAAAGGTGGGAGCCCAAAGACAACATATCACAGACATCAGAAAGAGACAGTGATCATTTTACGGCCATGCTATGAGAAGAGAAAAAATGGAAAATGTGACCACTGGAAAGATCTGAAGGAATAGAAGAAGACAACAAGAAAAGATTCTTGACAGTCTTGTGGCATAGAGGTGTGTCAGCACACGAACTGATACATGCTGCAGGAGATTGAAGATTATGGAGAGGTATGATCGCCCACACCAGTCAGCAAAGGCACCTGATGATGATGATGAAATCTCTTGAGTGTGTTTTTAGCTTTTCCTAATCTCATTACGCCATGTGAGTTCCAGTGTAAAGATATTTTTTATTCTACCTTTTCATCATTCATTCAGGTGATGCAACTGCATTGTGCTGTTTACAGCAAAGTAGCGATATTTGCAGCTTTCAGTTGAAACAAATCTGACCTCTTCTGGCAATTTGTGTTCCAGGTTAGCCTTCCCAGATTAAAAATTATCATAAGATGTCTCACTGGTTTACAGTTTCTTGGATTTCACATGGTGAAACTCTCTACAAGAAGAGACAGCCAACCCTGGCCACCTTTAAGGACATACTTGGTAGGTTTTAATTTTTCCCAGCAATCCACAGGCATTGTCTTCTCTAGGAAAAGGACTCTTTTTCATATCGTCAGGAGTATTGGGCATAATGGTCTAGACCTATATTTTATCGCCCAATCAGCATTCAGTATGGTGATGTGGTCAAAATCATGTTGGCTGCCTTTACTTCCTAGGACTTTACCTGGTACCCATTTAAGGCTGGGCCGACCTGCGAGCCAAAGTCATATTTAAAAAAAAAAAAACATGTGCGACTCCATCCGAAACTGAACTGACAACCTTCACAACCGGAAATGACAAAAAGGTAGACATACACCATAAAGAGAGAAAGATGCAAATGCACATAGAAAGGCACGCAGAGAGAAAAACTACAGTCTTAGAGACAACAACAGAAAGAGACATGTGATTGCACAGAAAACTCTTAAACTAAAATGAAAAAAACACATAAATGTACTTGATTAACTCTCCCAGATTGTTGAAGATGTTGATTTTTGAGATGCCCGCTGCCAGACACATTTTCACCTTGTACTGCAACTTTTCCGTGTTGTATTTTCTGAATCCCCAGCAGCCCTGATAAAAGAAAATACTACAATTACTACCCTGAAGGAGACTAAACATTACATTTTACAGACTCATAAAATTGCTCACATTTCACGTAGGCATCGACCTCTTCTGTTTAGTCACTAATCTGTTAAATTGTGTCTAGTTATTAGATTGTTTCATTTTGCCAGAACTTGAGTTTTGCATGCACATCTATTTTACAGATCTGGTTTGTATGCAGACTGTTGGTTTCTAGCATCTCATGCAGATGCACTCAATATATATATAAATGTTTAAACACACACATATATATATTTTTAAACAGGCACTTGGGTGGGAAACACAAAGACTATGGAATTAGTTGATCTGATTCAAGAACCGACATCAGGGCATTTCCATAAGTTCTCTGTCCTCATTTCAGCAGCCATCGCAGAGTTTTGATACCAATGGTGTCAATAGCCTTCTGATTATACCCCCATCTTGCCTCTCCTCTGAGCGTTGGCTAGAATCCGTCGTCACTCCCCACTGCATCACTCTCACCAGACTGTGGTAATTCATTTGCTCCTCTGAACTGTACATGCTCTCCCACAAGGCCCTAACCATGTTTGCCTTATCATGCATCAATATTCCACCAAGTTGTGCAGAGCCAGCCAGGAAGTAAGGACGTTTAAAAGAAACCTTAAAATGCAAGCTGATGAGAAAGACCCAAAGAGGGGGGAAATATGGAGTACTAGATTTCATGCATGTTATTACAACAACTGCACAGTAAAGAAAGGAGTGGAAGAATATACTGCAAACCCTGTGATGCAGATCTTCTTCTTCTATCCTTCTGTCAGAAAACTTATATCAGGTGACTGGTAGCCTTTATTAAAGCTATTGTGAAGTCTATATCTTCTTGTGTACCATACAATATTGTCTTCATGTTGATAATTATATACTCATATGCAGAAGGGACAAAAAGAGATCTTGTGTGCACTTTCTGATTTACACCGACAGACAAGTTTATGTGATACACTTGACAACTCTGAGTGCAGTGTTGACTCACTGGGCCAGTATTCCCTTCTTAATGGGCTGTACAAGGGACATTCTTGCAGAACATTTATGTAGTCTGCACCCAGTTTCATTATTCACTCGATCTCGGATGGTTAGGTTGGCTGCTTTTCTCAGGTACCTCATCTCACAGGTGGTGATTTTGCGTATATGGGCTTTAGATAGTGTGCATATTTGGCACTGGTAGCTTAATGTTGGAATGAATATGCTTGGATGTCTTAATAATGGTGACAATTGCTACACTACTAACCCGAATGTCTGCTACACTAACATCCAGGAGCTGCGCTACAACATCAATCTCACTTCCTACAGCGAGCTGTTCCCTGAAGCTGCTCATTGACTTGGCTAAAAACAAGTGCACAGGAAATGGTCCTTTGCCGACAAGTTGAGACTTCATGTACAAGTCAACCTGTGGTCAAAAGCATATTTTTAATATGAGAATACAAACAGAATGTTAACACTTTCACCCCGGGAAACCCTTGAGAAAAAAACAATTGTCCAGAACCCGAGAAATTAAACACCCCCCCCCCCCCCCCAAAAAAAAAAAACCCTTAAAAACATTTTACAGAGATCACTAAACAAATCTGTGTTCATTTATTAATATACATTTTAAAATGATATATTTAAAATATATGGAGAAGTAAGCAATAAAATCAAATAGTATTAACAATAACATTCTCTTGGTCTTAAACAATAATGTGTACAGTGTGTCTAATACTATGACACTTCTTGCTATGTCGCAGATAAAGGCTAAACAGCCAATTATTTGATGTTATTTTGACAGAATTAAAAAAATGTAAAAAAAAATTGTTACCACCCCCTCCCACCCCGCTAATTTTTTTTAAGTAAATATAATCACATCAGGCGCTTCTAAAAGCTGCACAGGTGCAAACAATACCAAAAGCTTGTCAGGGGCTGGCCTAATTAGCAAAGCTAAAATACAGACTCTGCTGGGATGTCTTCTTCTTTTGTCAAAATCTGCTTGTGCCGCTAGGCGTCGCAGTCTATCAGATGATCGGCAACCGAGCCAGGGCGCACTCAGTCGCTTCATATGCCGTGATGTTATGAAGTCTCAAGTTGTCCGTGACTCCTTCAATCCATCTTCTTCTTGGTCTTCCCCTGCCTCTTGGTGTTTCGATTTTCATGTTGTATGCTCTTGATGCTGGCATCGTTGGTTCCATTCTCATAAGGTGACCAAACCATTTCATTCTTTGCTTCTCAATAAATTTAACGATGGGTATGCTGGGATGTAATGGACAGTAAAGCCAGATTCTCAAGATGCAGGTGGAAGCCATCATTGCAGCTCTGAGGTGGATAGCAGAAAATAAAGTTACCAGAGGAATTATTGTGTCAGATTCTCAGTCGGTACTGCAGGAGGTTCAAAATGGACAAATGTGGCATGAGTGGATACCAAGCATCAGTACGCCAGCATTTGGGGAATCACATGGATATACTGTCTGGGATATGCAGGAGTGTGAGGGAATAAAAAAGCTGATCTTCTGGCTACAAAACGATAGCTAAGCAAACATCCGTGCTGGACAAGGGAGACATTGTGAAAATCATTACTGAAAGAAAGTTGATAGAAGAGATGAAATAACATGTTTAAGAATTTGTCAACAAAAGTTTATAAAAAAACAACCAAATACCTTATCATCAAACAAATCATAGCCTTGCAGAATTTCCAAGTTGGACCAAATATCTTTAGCTGTTGCTCCGACTTCTCTCAGTTTCTTCACCTGAAATGATATATTGAAATACAAAACTTTGGTTCTGATCTCATACATCATTATCACCACTGTGTTGCACCATTCATATGTCATGTAGAAAAGATATAAAACAGAACGAAAAGTATATCAGCAAGCTTCACAATATAACAAATACAAATAAAACGTGAACGTTGCGGCTATGGAGCCTTCATCAGCACATACAAATCAAGCAATACTACAAAAATACACAAAATCACTTAGCTGCTATCTTGAAGCAGCCGGGTCCATGGATTCTCTGTAGAATGCCTACATGCGTGGGCTAGGGGAATAAATACCCCCTGTGGAGTACCAGGGGGAAATAACTAGGGGTTAGAGATAATGCTGTAAGGGCAGTTAAATCCCCTAGGAGTTTAAATGAAATTGTGTTGACAATTCAGTCCGGAGGGTGTTAAAGTCCCCAAAGTGTAAATAAAGCGATTCTCAAGAGACTTGCGGACTCTGTCGCTGGAAGGGCTAGATTTAATGGCTGTCACCTCCCTGCCGAGGACACCTTAATGATCCTGAGATTATATGTCATGTAGGATTCACCTTCAGTTCTTGCATTCCAGTTCCAACCTATGTGATCCTCTTTCTGTATCATGTATGTATGGAATTCCGTCTGGCACTGCTAGACTCTCAAATCAACACTCACTGGAGAATTTCTCTCGGACATCCTTGTTTTGTCCCCTGAATTCTATCCTGCTCAATCTTTACAATATCGGATACGAAATCTTCCCGTGTGGATTCCGGGGCCATATGATAGGAAAAACAAGAATAGACCCCCTGCCTACCCAAAAGCATGTCATAAGAGTCGACTAATTGGGAGCTCCCTTCAAAGTCGGAGTGCATCTGCCTGAGAGGCAAGGAAACAGCAGTCTGCATACAGATGAGTCAGATCTGTAAAACGGATGCACACGCAACACTCAGATTCTGGTGCAGGACTGCTGCCCAAAAGTGGATAAACAACTAGAACTTTCCGCCAGAGTTTACAGCTGGTGAACACGAAGAAGAAGAAGGATATGGAATCCAATCTGAAACCTCTGGCCTCACTCATCAATGCCCATTGTAGAGTTTCTCTTGCACATCCTTGCTTGCAGATTCAAATGATTTTTTCCATTTCATTGCCTGTTTTATGATTCTTAATCCACCTTCTTTATGATGCCATCTCTGGTTGTTTGTCCACCTCTGGCCTTCAGCCTTGTTTCAAAACCTGAGTGCTGCAAGCACATCCATTTTTCAGATCTGACTGATCTGCATGCAGATTGTTGTTTCCTCAACTCCTATGCAGATGCACTGCGATGACTTCAAACGAAGCCCCCAGTTTTCCTCAACTCCTATGCAGATGCACTCCAATGACTTCAAACGAAGCCCCCAGTTTTCCTCAACTCCTATGCAGATGCACTGCGATGACTTCAAACGAAGCCCCCAGTTAGTCGGCTCCTATGATGTGCTTATTAGAGAGGCAGTGGGTCAATTCTTTTCCCCCACAAAGGGGCCTTGGAATCCAGATGGGGACTAGTCACAAGTAATTTTCACCTGTCTGAGACACATCCCCTCCTCCCGCACAATTGGCACTCAATGGGCGTTGTGACTGACATCACACCAGCTGTTTTCACTTCCTATGTCATTTCCATGAAAAGACCCAGGTGGCGACAGGAAAGTAGATGTCATTACAACTGATTACAAGAAACAGTAGGTATCATTACATTTGACTACAAGAAACATTAGGGGTTAGTATATATACTAACTCCAAGAAACAGTATGTGTCATATACTGTAACCACAAGAAGCAGTAGACATCACTAGATTTTAACACTAAGAAACAGTAGGTTGTATTGCATTTAAACACTAAGAAACATTAGGTGTCATATTTTAACTCCAAGAAATAGTGTCATTACATTTTAAATCCAAGAAACAGTAGGCAACTTTTTTATTTTAACTCCAAGAAACAGCAGGTATCATTATATTTCAGCTCCAAGAAACAGAAGGTGTCATTATATTTCAACTCCAAGAAAGAGCAGGTGTCTTTATATTTCAACTCCAAGAAAGAGCAGGTGTCACTATATTTCAACTCCAAGAAAGAGCAGGTGTCTTTATATTTCAACTCCAAGAAACAGTCTGTGTCATTATATTTCAGCTCCAAGAAACAGACGGTGTCATTATATTTCAACTCCAAGAAAGAGCAGGTGTCACTATATTTCAACTCCAAGAAAGAGCAGGTGTCTTTATATTTCAACTCCAAGAAACAGTCTGTGTTATTATATTTCAGCTCCAAGAAAGGTCAGGTGTCGTTATATTGCAACTCCAAGAAACAGTAGGTGTCAATATTTTTCAACTCCAAGAAACAGTCTGTGTCATTATATTTCAGCTCCAAGAAACAGTAGGTTCATTTTTTAACTCAAAGAAACAGTCGGTGTCACTATATTTCAACTCCAAGAAAGAGCAGGTGTCTTTATATTTCAACTCCAAGAAAGAGCAGGTGTCACTATATTTCAACTCCAAGAAAGAGCAGGTGTCTTTATATTTCAACTCCAAGAAACAGTCTGTGTCATTATATTTCAGCTTCAAGAAACAGAAGGTGTCATTATATTTCAACTCCAAGAAAGAGCAGGTGTCACTATATTTCAACTCCAAGAAAGAGCAGGTGTCTTTATATTTCAACTCCAAGAAACAGTCTGTGTCATTATATTTCAACTCCAAGAAACAGAAGGTGTCATTATATTTCAATTCCAAGAAATAGCAGGTGTCACTGTATTTCAACTCCAAGAAACAGTAGGTGTCACTATATTTCAGCTCCAAGAAACAGTCTGTGTCATTATATTTTAACTCCAAGAAAGAGCAGGTTTCATTATATTTCAACTCCAAGAAACAATGTGTCATATTTCAACTCCAAGAAAGAGCAGGTGTCATTATATTTAAACTCCAAGAAACAATAAGTGTCATTACATTTCAACTCCAAGAAAAAGAAACAGTCTTTCTTAAAGCCAAGTTGACATCAAATTTGTCCATAGCCTCAATGTTAGATGTCACCGTTGAGTCATCCGATATTAGGGAAATTTTAAGCCATGTGATTCTGTCCCAAACTGCAGAATGGTTAGCCACCTGCCGAGAGTGTGGTACAAAGTCATAACTCCGTAGCTCCAACAATGATTTTCAAGGATATCTGTAAAATTGCACCCATGAACCGAACAGTCCTGCTGTAAAATGAACCCATGACGTTGGCAGCGTGAGGCAAACAGCTTAACCCCTTCAGAGTGTAAGATGGATGAGGGGCTATGATCCACTGTGAGATGAAAGACAGAAAGAAAAAAAACCTGCATTAATGAACAGGCACATCAAAAGGCTGTTACATTGCTCTTACCTTTTTTGTTTAGCTTGTGTTCGATAGATACACGATCAATGAGGAACAATGAGAAGACAACATGAATGCCAATTTCCTTCAACTTGTCTATACATTTGAGAACTGTATCTTTGTCCATTTCTTGAATGTTGGGATACATTTCAAGGTCTTCACAAGGTATACCCAAAGACTGAAGATACACAAGTGCCTTCTCATAGTTTTCTGTTTTTACAGGAATTCTATTCTTGGCCTTTATCCTAGGATACTTGACTTCTTTGATCACATCTGCTGTACTCTCACCGCTACTGACTGTATGCTTATGATTATTATGTACTTTTCTTTTAGATGCAGATGGTGGGGTTGCTTTCTTTAAAATTAGATCTAAATCTTTATTGTATTTTTCTAGAAACATCTCTGTAGACTCATTAATTTGTTTCTGGAAACTCATCCTTTTTTTCAAGTCATCCTCTGCAGATGAGTCTTCCTTTAACTGTGCATTCACCGGTAATGAAATATTGTACAATGAAGCCCCTGGCAATTTGCCTAAAAGCGATATCCACTTATGCTTGCGTAATAAGTTTCTGGAGTTTTTGTCAATTTCTTCTTCATTCGACTTTTTTATTTGTTCATCCTTTTCTTCAACAGATGAACTGCTTTCTGAATCTTTACTTGCATCAGTGAGGTCTTCAGGCAGGTTTTTGACAGCTTTATTTACTTGTGGTTTTTCCTTAAGGAAGTAGGAAGTCAGCCGTGAGATAATGTTAAATTTATTCAGAGAAATTGACAGCAGGCGAATCCCTGTTTGATTTAGAAGAAATACGGATTTCCTGTGAATGAAGCACTTCTCTAAACTCAGGTGCTCAACTCTCTGATAATAAATCACAAAATATGGCTGGTGTCTGCTCCAGAACGAATGGTAGAACAGCTTTCGTTTTAAAACAACCGTCAAACTCATGATGATCTGTGGATGCAAAACAGGAAAACTATATATTCATGTTCATTACATTATGATTAGAAATATTATTTTATTTGTTCCAAAACTTATTTTCGTACTCCAGACAAACTGATAGTTTTAGCTTTTAGAGAGGCTTTATCTGCTGTGCAGCTCTTTGGTTTTGAAGTTGGGAATAAGTTTCAAAAGTGAATGATCCTCGACACCAGGGTTCTTCTTCTTCTGTGTCCACCGGCTGTAAGCTCCGGTGGAGAGTCCTGGTTGTGCGTCCATATGGACTTGAGCTTTGTGCCAGAGCCTGAGTTTTGCATGTACATCTGTTTTACTGGCTTGTTAGCGAAAGGAGCGTCCATTGCGGTGTCAGTCTCTTGACCTAGCAAAACCTCTCTTACCTCAAGACCATTGTGCGTGGCGAAGAGTACCAGCCTCCCCAAAGTAGTCCTGGTAACTGGGGGTGCGAATCCCCAGGCAAAATACAATGGATCAAGAGGAGCAGACCTCGATAAAAAACCGGTGCACCATACGGTTCTGCCCCCTGTGGGAGGGAAGAAGCCGGAGGTGTGCTTGAACAGTCTTAGGAATGGAAACAAGTATGCTAACCCCCTGAATACCGGAAACTATCATGAAGGCACAGGGACTCAGGACGTAACGATCCAGTTGCCCCAACTACTCATGCTTAGAGCCATGAAGAGCTCAGCGAAACCAGAAGGCAATCTGGTGGCGGGGAATGAGCACACTGTGAGCCCCACCTTAGTTACGTGTTAAAGGGGAAGGCAGAAACACAACCCATATTTCCTTTAGAACTGGTACAGGGCATTTCTAGCTGCTGCCCGGGGAGGTAGGTAATCCACAGACACCCCAGCACCACAATGCCATGAATATGTCTTCTTCTGTGTCCACCGGCTGTAAGCTCTGGTGGAGAGTCCTGGTTGTGCGTCCATATGGACTTGAGCATTGTGCCAGAGCCTGAGTTTTGCATGTACATCTGTTTTACTGGCTTGTTAGCGTGCAGTTGGTTGCTCCTTGCCGCTCGGGCACTCCGACTTCAAAGCAAACTCCCAATTAATTGACTGTTACTATATGCTTGTTGGGGAGGCAGTGGGTCTATTCTTGTTTTCCCTATAATGGGGCCCCGGAAACCACGCGGGGTGGTTCCATTTCAGCAGCACCCATTTTTTGGGGGGGGGGGGGGGGGGGCGGGGTGTTTGTTTCCAACGCTCTCATGGTTTTTGGACGATGGTACGAAAGTCCCACAGTGGATGAGACTGGGTTCTCACCCTGTATAACTTCCAAAGGAAGCCTTGGCTACACTGTGGCCAACCTTCATTACTGAGAGAGAAAAAAGTTAGTTGCGAATCCATTACAGCACATTGCAGAACCAACCCCAGCATTTTTTTGGCTGATGTGGTATTTGTAGGTAAATTTATGTCCAGTAGTTTGCCACTCCTTTCTGGATGGCTGGCTTCTCTATACCACTGTCGAAACCAACACAAGATGCAAGGCCCGCAGCTGGGATTGAACCCGGCATTACGAAGCGTGTACGCAACGGCTAAGCCAAAGACGCCGACTGCTGAGAGACAATAAATTTTAAAATCCAAAAAATATCCGCTAAGATCTCAAAAATGAACAATGAGCAATGAAGCACGTTGTAAAAGCGAACCAATCAGAGGTGTTTCCTTTAAAGTCAGAGTAAATCTATCTGAGAGCCGAGGCACCAACATTCTGCGTAGAAAAAAGATGCCAGATCTGTAAAACTGATATACATTTAGAACTCAAGTTCTGGAATAAGAAATCCAAAAATGGGTGAAAAACAAGAACTTTCCACCGAAATTTACAGCCAGTGAACACTAAGAAGAAGAAGATGACTAGGACATCACTGTTGTGTGCTATCCTGGGTGTAATAGCAATTAGCACACGGTCAACTGTCCAAGGATTCAGTTCTCGCTTCCACACATTCAACTCTCAGAAAAATAACATAATGTCTGCCATACATGTCTGTTTATTGTTAAGCCACAGAGGGTAGTCACAATCCCTCGCACAGACAATTCAAGTGAAGTGATGTAGACATCCGTCCTAGCTAACATGTAAACCTAGCTCTGCTTTTCGCTCACTTCCCAAGTATAGCGTTGGTCTCCCGGACAGCTTGCACTCGCCACCACTACACGCTGACCGCTACAGTTCTTAGGTCTAAAGCATCGTGCAACTCCGGGCTCGCTGTACAGATGAACAGGAAATCTGAACCTCTGCTCTACACTAAGCAGACACACCGGCTGACTGGAAACGGACTCATAACATTCGTTCTCCAGCATGTGCACACAGCACACCAGCCTCGTCGAAGGATTCCCATGACCGGCAGGACTCCGGGCCACCTTCAGCATATAGCTTTTGCCGGCATCTCCACCGTCTGGTTTCACTAGTGAGCCTACGCCTTCCTGCGTCGTCACCCAAAAGAGCTAATCTTGAGCATCCAGTCCTCGTGGCTTGACTCTGCCAACTGGACTCTCTCCTTTTGACTGCACCACGACTCTTGGCTCTCAGATCTCACTGTCTGACTCTTACTGCGGTACTCTGTCTGTTTCTTTCTGGTCCACTCAACCCCAGTATATACCCTTGCCTGTCCCTTGTGGGCCGCTCATGCCATACGAGAAGCACGCATCCCATCCTTCTTCCAAGCATCAGTGGCTATCTCTTACAAGTCATGATAGTTAGCCCATGCGGCTACTACCACGGGTCTCTAGTGTCCATCCTGTCAAGTCACTTCCCACAGTATTGACTCAACCGACAAATATTTCCTGGCTTGAGTCAACACTGGGCAACATATTGACACAGGTAACGGAACATTCTCGTGGATTCCCGACAACACCATTCCCAACATGTTGTCCTGCCCCAAGGTTACAAATCAAATGAATCAGCATGCAACAATCAGAAAAATTAAAAATAAGTGACAGACAACAACAGAAGACAGATACACTCTACCTTTCAGTTTACTGACAAAATTAACTTTTTTGTGTGTCTCAAATAAAAAGCACTATATGTGGTGGACTATTCATCTTGCATATATACCAGTGAGACATATGCACTTTGCTTCTTTTGTTTTGTCAAAGCATACTAAAGAAATCTGGCAATGTTTATTCTACACAGTGTACATGTGGCTTCCGAATATAAGACAGTTGTAATTCTGTTGTCATTACTGTCTTAGCAATATCATCTGCTATATAACCTTTAAGTAGTGAAAGAGTTTATGGATTACAAACTGGTGGAGTATACAACAGACAAATATAGTGAATAAATTTTTCTGTCTTTCAAACAGGTCCTCAGTCAACTCAAACAAACCTTGTGTTGACTTATTTCTGATTGTCAGCACTTTCAAGGTTGGCTGGCTTTTTCTCTTAAGGTATAAACAGGAAAATTAGAAACTGGCCCACAATCTGTAGGACACCCAAGTCAACCCCATCTACTAGTAGTGCATACTGGAAAGATCTTAGGCTAACTAAGCACTGGCTCACCGAATGGATTGATTCATCTGGTTAAATACTTCCTGAAACTGATAGACCCAGAGAGCTAGCAGTGGATAAAAGCTTGCTTAAAGAAACAATAAGAAGATAAATTGTACCGATCCTCATGCACTGAATGGTTCGACCACATAATAAGACTCCTAAAAGATAGTGAAACACAAAGAATTCTGTCATTATGACACAACGGAAGTAGAGTTAGTGGTCACCCACACAAATTATGGATGGATAGAAAATCGAGACCATGAATACCAGCTTCTATGTGCCACAAGCCAAGGTTCTTACCAGATGCCTCTCCAAAATCTGACAATGAAAGGCAGATTAGGACTACAGAAGAAGACGAAGAAAAAAAAAAGAAGCAGAAGTTCAAGAATGGGTGGGTTTTACAGGTAATATTTACAGTTTTTTTTTAGGCGGGACGACTGTTACTGTATGCTGTCAATAGATTCTAGTCAGAGTCTGCATCTTCTTAAGCATGTTCATTGTAATATTTTATATAGGATGAGGTCATCAATCTCACATCACTTTTCTCCTTTTACCTACAAGGCAAGTTACGAGTTAGGCTGGTAGGTTACAGTGCTAGCATTCTTTACTCCACATAACTCTTTCAGTCAAGTGGAAAATGTGATGCGTAACAACAAACTTTTGCCCATGAATCCCAGCCACACAGCAATGTGTTAACCCACACACTAAAGAAATATGGCTTCCCTACTGGCTACTTCTGGTGCATAATTTGCCTGTGTTACAGTTATATATTTCTGACTGTCCACAGTGGTAATTGATTCCCTTGACCATCTACTCTGCTGCAAGAACCCCCTGGGAATTAAAGAATTAAAAATACTAATAAAATAAGGCCAATTTCACAGCTTCACCTTGGAGTTATACAGAAAATTACCTTCCTAGTTTCTTCACACTCTCATGCATATCGGGTGTAAAGTGCAAGACCTATATTTTACAAACCAATTCACATTCGGTGAGTGACGTGGTCAATAGCACATTGGGCATCTTTATTCTTATGACTTTACCTGGTACCCATTTTAAGGTTGATCAACCTGTGAACTAAAGTCAGTTCTGAAACCAAACAAATCCCACTTTATGAATGTGGATTTGAACCTACATGCATCTGAGTCTGAGGTGAGTGTCTAACTGCCCCTTACCTTCTTGTTAACTTTTTGAGTCCCAGGGGGTTTAGCATCACAGGCCCAGGGGGTTTAGCATCACAGTCCCAGGGGGTTTAGCATCACAGTCCCAGGGGGTTTAGCATCACAGGCCCAGGGGGTTTAGCATTACAGGCCCAGGGGGTTTAGCATCACAGGCCCAGGGGGTAGTAAAAAAAAAGTAATAAAATCGGCGCATCATGCGTTCATTGGGCTTCTAGGTAGGAACCTATGAACGTATGATGCGTTCCTTGGGACTCAAAGAGTTAATTATGGCAAAATATATACAATTTATATATTTGCCATAATTTATAATAAATTAACTATACTATAC